TACGTCCTCTGGGCTCCCATTGACCGCAGTCCGGCCCGCGCCGGCCGCGCTGACTGGCAGCCGCACGCCCGGGCACGCGCGGAGATGCTGCCGCTGATAGGGCCTAAAGGCGCCAGCTTGCGCCAGCCAGGCCTCTCTATCTGACTCCTCTCTCCTTCTCACTCTGCCCCCCCCCCTCTCTCTCTCTCTCTTTTCGCTGAGATGCTGCACTATGGTGAGAGAACAGCGCCGTGCCTGCCTGCCTGCTCACTCGCCCGTCGCAACACACAACCGCACTCTGAAGTTGCTCTAATCTTTGCCCCTCTCTGCTGTTTTCCAGCGATCACCTCAAGATCCACATGAAGACCCACGACAACCAGAAGCCCTTCCAATGCACCGTGTGCAACCGCGGCTACAACACGGCCGCCGCGCTCACCTCGCACATGCAGAACCACAAGAAGGCGGGCGACTCGGCGTCCAACGGCGGCGCGTCCAACGGCCGCTCCTCGTCCAGGGCCTCGTCCGAGAACACCCCGTCGCCGGGCACCTTCCGCTGCCTGCAGTGCGGCGACTGCTTCCGGAAGGCGGAGGACCTGCAGTCGCACATGGCCGGCCAGCACCACGTCGACATGGGGTCGCCGCCGTCGCGCTCCGCCAGCAGGGGGCTGCTCCTGGACTCGCCCCTGTCCCGGTCGCCCTTCCCGCTGCCCACGCTGTCCTGCATGTACTGCACCAAGGACAGCTTCGGCAGCATGGAGGCGCTGCAGCTGCACGTGCAGGCCATGCACGGCGCACTCCTCAACGGCGAGCTGCGCGACCTGGCGGCGCACGCGGCCCGCTCCAGGCCCTCGGTGGATGACCCGCTCCGCGGGTCCCCGACGACGCCGTCGCCTTCGGGGCCGACGACGCCCGGGAGCACGGGGAGCGGAGGTGGGGCCATCCCTTGCGAGCTCTGCACCATGAGGTTCAACTCCGTCTCCGGCCTGCACAAGCACCAGCGCTCCGTGCACGGCCTCGTCGGGCCCAAGTTCCTCGGCGACCCTTCTCCCATCCTGTGCGTGCACTGCTCGCTGCCTTTCCCGTCGTCTGCGGCCTTCGCCGAGCACTACGTCCTGGTCCACGGCGGCGGCGCGAGTCCTGCGGCTCTGGCGGCCCTGGCCGCGCGGAGCCCCTCGCCGTCACCCGCGGGCCGCGACCGCGAACAGCAGGAGAAGCCGACCGACCTGAGCGTCAGCAGGAAGGCTTCCTCCCGGCGAGGTGCGGACGACAAGTCCCATCTGGGGATGCCGCCCTCAAAACGCTCCAAGTCTAACCATGATCACCCACCTCTTCTTCTGGACGGCCTCATGGTAAGCTTTGTTTCCTCTTAATCAACTTATCTTCCCATCTGTTCCTGGTCAGTCATGTGCCTTGCCTCCTTACGCAGGGCCGCGACTACGAGGCGGGGCCTCTGCTGTGCAACCAGTGCGGCGCCGCGCTGCCCGACTTCGAGGCGTTCCGCGTCCACCTCAAGGCCCACCTGGAGGAGTCCGGCGCTGGCCTGAGGTCGCTGCTGGGGGCAGACCTGCTGGGTCTGCTGCCCCCCGCGCCAGCCGGCGGCCCCCTGGGTCCCCTGGGATCACTCGGGCCGCCCCCCGCGGCGGACGAGCCCCTGCCAGGGCGCAGGTAAGTCCCCGGTGCTGCGTTGCGTTTCAATGCGCCCCAAGCGCATTCCTGAGACTCACCGTGCGTTCCATCGTCTACAGCCACCGCCGCAGCCCCGCGAGCGCTTCCCCGGGTGCGGCCGGCCACGGCCTGAGCTGCCCGCACTGCGGCGTGCAGTTCCCGACGAGCACCTCCGAGGACCGCATCGGCGTGGGTGCGCTGCTGGAGCGCCACGTGGCCGAGCACTTCCTGGCCACTGCCACAGAGTTCGGCTGCCCGACTTGCAGCAAGCTGTTCGCCAAGCCTGACGAGCTGCAGAAGCACCTGATGGACATCCACGCGCACCACCTCTACCGCTGCGCGCTCTGCCAAGAGCTGTTTGACTCGAAGGTGGCCATCCAAGTGCACTTCGCCGTCAAGCACTCGTCCGCGTGCCCGCTGTTCCGGTGCACCGCCTGCCCCTCGTCGTCGGCCAGCTCCGTGTTCCGCTCGGACCGTGAGTTCGGCCTGCACGTTCGTACGGCGCACGCCACGCACCCGCTCCTGGCCGCCACGCACGCCATGCTCCTCCAGTTCCAGCAGAAGCTGCAGCAGCGGGAGCAGAGGGACCTGCAGCGCGACCGCGAGCAGAGGGACCGCGAACAACGCGAGCGCGACCGCGAGCAGCGTGACCGCGAGCGGGAGCGTGACCGGGATCGTGACCGGGACCGAGAGCGCGAGCGCGACCGCGAGGTGGGCAGGGAGGCTGAGACCCCCGGCCAGCAGCCGTTCCGCTGCCTCTTCTGCCGCGCATCTTTCGGTTCCGAGCTGGAGCTGCAGTTCCACCTGCCCACCCACACGCGTCAGTACAGCTGCCCGCTGTGCCAGGAGACGTTCCAAGTCGAGTTCCTCCTGGACAAGCACATGCAGACGCAGCACTCGGGCCAGATCAACGGCCGCGACACGCCGCCCGGCGGCGAGGGCAAGGCCGCCAAGCCCAACGGCTGCACCAACGGCGACGCGCCCGACCCGCTGCTCAACAACAACCAAGCCGGTGCCTCGTGCGACATCTGCGAGCGCGGCGACTTCGCCAGCGAGGCCGAGCTGGCCGCACACCGCAAGCTGGCGCACCACAAGAACGGCCAGGGCGCCACCACCAACAGCACCACGGCCAAGAACGGCGCCGTCAGCCTGCTGTGCGCCTACTGCAACGAGAGCTGCAAGTCGCGCACGGAGCTGGAGAACCACATGAAGACGCACTCGCACCAGGGCACGGCGGGCCTGGGCGGCACGGGCAAGCACAAGTGCAACATCTGCGACGAGCTGTGCCCCTCGGCCGCGGTGCTGGCCGAGCACAAGCTGACGCACTGCAAGGTGGTGCAGGGCTCGGCGTGCACTGTGTGCCGCGCGTCCGTCACCACCGAGGAGCAGTTCCGCTCGCACCTGCGCCAGCACGCGGTGCAGACCGGCGGCAACCCCCAGCCGCAAGTGGGCGGGGCCAGCGCACCTCTGTGCCTACCGGTGCAGTGCGTCATCTGCAGGCAGACCCTGGTGTCCGACGTGGAGGTGCGGCTGCACGCGCGCTTCCACCTGCAGACGGGTGGCGCCGCCGGGCAGACCGCCGAGCAGCCCACTGGCTCGCCGGATACCGCCGCCTCCGCGGCCACCTGCTGCATCTGCCTGCAGAGCGGTGACGCCGCTTCCATGGTGCCGACCAGCGCCGCCCCTCTAGCTGGCCAGTCTGTGGTAAGTACCGCGATGCCTTTCACAGATTTGTCTCAGAATGAACTAGTTCCCTTGGTCTGAAGCGCCCGGGGGATAGGCAACTCATTCGACACCCCGGTCGCAGGATTGCCTAAGTGGACATTGTGTCATCTCTTCTATTTTGCCATTTCCAGTCGTATGTGTGCGCCGACTGCTACCGGAGGCACTCCAAGTTGTCGTCGCGATCACCGCCCACCACGCCCCAGGCCTCACGGACTTCATCGCCGTCGCGCCAGAGCCAGGACGACGGCAAGCAGGAGTCGCGGGGGGCGACGTCCGTGACGCCTGAGAAGTCCGCGGCAAGCCAGGACGCCACGACGCCCCAGCGCTGCGGGGAGTGCGGAGTCAAAACCGAGTCCGCCGCGGCCCTGGAGGCACACATGGCTGCCGCGCACAAGAACACGTACCAGTGCATCAAGTGTCAGGTGAGCGAGGTCCCGGGTCCCGCGCGCCCCGTCCCGTCACCTTGCCGGCAACACGTCTAACTGTCCCGTCCCACTTTCAGGCGAGCTTCGAGACGGAGAGAGACATCCGCCTGCATGTATCGGCGCACCTGCTCGCCGAGGGCTCCGCGGCCAACGAGTGCAGGCTCTGCCGCCGCCAGCTGTCCACCCCGCTGCAGCTGCAGCTGCACCTCATCGAGCACACCTTTGCGGGCTGCGCATCGTTCACCTGCTACATTTGCAGCGCCGTGTTCACCGCCGCTCGTGGTCTGCAGGTCAGTGGCTGTTCATTGGGACCAGGGCACCCCCTCCCTTCCTTTCGCCCGCTCTAACGCCCCTCTTGTCCTTCTGCAGGCGCACATGCTGGAGCACGGTCTCTCGGCCAGGCCGTACGACTGCTCGCACTGCGGGCTACGCTTCTTCTTCCGCGCCGAGCTGGACAACCACACGCTGGGGCACCACGCCCAGGCGCTGGCGCACGCCAGCATGCAGGCCCGGCCCGGGGACGACGACGAGGCCGCGCAGGCCTCTTTCTACCAGCATCTGTCCTCGCTCAGCAACAGCAACGGGCTGGACCTGCACTACTACACCGTGCCGCCTGGCGGAGAGGCCTCGGCTGCCAAGTCGCCGCGCAAGTCCCCGGGCCGCAGCAACGGCCGAGACCGGGACCGCGACGGGCGCGGCGCCGCGCCCGGCCCCAAGCAGAGGTGCCTCATCTGCGGCAAGGACATGCCCTCCGCGCGCGCGCTCGCGGCGCACCTGCGGTCGAGCCACGGTGTGCAGGACAACGGCCTCGGCCTGGCGCACGGGCTCGACAGCGACCTGCAGGTGTGCCTGCTGTGCAAGGAGGTGCTGCCCGACCGCGACGCGCTGCTCGTGCACCTCGCCGTGCAGCACCCGGGGCCGGGGCTGACGCCGGGCCTCGTGCCGCCCCTGCAGCTGGAGGCGCACATGGCGCTGCTCAGCCAGGCGCACTCGTTGCAGCAGATGCAGCATGTGAAGCAGGAGCCGGCCCCCGCCGTCGTCAAGGAAGAGGCCCCCGACGAGGAGACGTCCGTCTCTTCCGTGCCGGCTGAGGAGCGCGCCACTTCGCCGGCAGCGGTGGCTCTGCCCTCGCCGACGGCCACGGTCGCGACCGACGAGGCGGCCGAGGACTCTGCCGCCAGCGCGCCAACCTCGGATGGCGCCAAGGGCGAAGGCCCGGAAGAAGTTCAGGCAATTGATGGGAAGGTGGACGACGGAGAGAGAGCCAACGTGAACGATGACAAACCCAAAGGCCGCCAAGGAGGGACTCCTGAGAATGACGTGAGTGATAACTGAGAAAATGTCCCTCCACGAGCGTCACAGTACTCCTGTGCTTACGGTTCAATTACATGAATTGTAAATAAAAAGAAAGCTGTTTCATCCCTCCAGCAAGATTGTGTTGTGAGTCATTGACTTTGTTGTAGGGTGAATTTTATATTATATGCTGTGAATTGATTTCTTCCAAAGAGTAGAGTATTTGTGTTATTGGTGTATTTTAGTAAAGTCTGTTTTCTCAAGCTGCTGAAAACCCGTCCGTACATTTGGGACTTTGTTACAGAAAACCATACTAAATTAGGAAGATTGGCATAATCAAACTTGAGAACTGAAAATAATATGCAATTGGTTGAGAAACTAGGGGCTTATAAGCCTCGAACTACAACCAAGTTTTTTATTTTGTTTTACTACGTATCTCCTCAACATTCAGAAGTTTTGTTACTAAATATGTTCTTAATGGTTGTGCTGCATCCGCAATAATTTAAATTTCTACATTCACTGTCATAAAATTTGGTCATGTTTTGCAAGGCTCAAACAGTGTTATGACTGAGTATGGTTGATTTTTTCAGTTTCATTATCTAGTAATATTTTTTTTAGAGCACAATACATAGTAGG